TTGGTTTCCCAAATTTGAACATCTCCCAATTCCAGAAAAGCATAGTTATTAAATATGGTGTCCACATTGATAACTGGAAAGAAAGAATAACGGTGACTGATCTTGCTAGGGCCATATTATGCCTGAGATGTTTGGACCTTGACTGTATATGGTTGTCTTTTCCGTTGTACAACTTTTTCACACTGTTGTGAACATGGCGACAGACTATCGTATAACAGCTTACTAACGTAGCCGAAAGAGCCACAAGAATGACCAAATATGCAAAGCTGAAGGCGTAATAGAAATCACTGTATTTTGCTACAAGAACAGTGATGGAAGCTAAAAGCAGAGCACAGAAAATAATACACATCAAGACGTACTTACGAACGGCTTGCCATCGAAAAAACAAGTCTTGCATCGGATACTTTAAAACTATAAGCCGTTCAATGCCGATAGCTAGGACAGTTGTAAAGTCTAACGAAAGAAGGGTGTAGGACAGAAATTGTATGGCAAACTTTGCCTTGCAGCTGGTATGTACCGTTTGAGAGAGAATATAGGCACCACTTAGAGGCAGTAATAGACCACCAACTAACAGGTCTGTTATGCAAAGAAAAATTATCAGCAATTTCGAGCCAGATGACTTGGATTGAAATAGGCCTATAATTATGACACTGTTCGAAATTAAAGTAATTGGTATCAGAGCTGCAGGAAAGAAAAACATTGCAAGCCTATGTGATTTGGATAAATGAGACACATCTGGGCAAATACTTTGGCATGCAGGAACCGGTGCCAATGTCGTGTTCATTTTCAAACAAAGTGTGTGTCAGGAAAGCACTGGTCTTGTATCATCAGAAGCAGTGAAATATTCTCTTGTCTTTTCACGTGATCAATATCCGATAATGTACAATCAATCTCATTGAATCAATCGCTGCAAAGACAGTAGTAATCTTTATTGTCCAGTCGCACTGTGGCAGAAGCTGGCATGTAGTCCAAACTTTGTATCGAATCAGAACTCAAGTCGCTTTTTGTATTGCGCTTTTACCACTCATCGACAGTATTCGAACTGAAGAACGATTACAGCTTTATAACAAGCATCTACCACCAGTAACCCTATTCAAAACAACATTTTGAAATGCAAGCAACATAATTAGAATTTCAGTCATTATATGAGTAAATTCTCCGTTATTTACTTTATTTTAACCAGAATCCTCATTCACCGAGCTTCAGACTCAGTGTTTATGTAAACAACACTTCACATTTAACCTGTTCACAAAAGAACTTAATATAGACAGTTTGCATCTTGACTTAACGAATTATAAAAAGCGCTGTAAACACTAATGAAAATATCAACAGTTACTCTTAGAAATTAAAGGCCTGTCGTCCCTACTCATATCACTAAAAGTTCATACAATAGAAGTTGTAGTCAAAAGATTCAATGTTTGCTAGTGGTTTTGCCTTGGTAGAACCTGTGCTTTTGTATCACTGCCAATCCGTTAGATATTTAGCTGATTTTGCTTATGTATTTCACGATACTTATTCAAGTTACGTCATTCAAATTCTAAGGATAGATCTTAGAGATGACGTCTCTTTTGATCTCTGTGCCAGATCTATAATGAACTTTACTGTTTGCCCGTCTGTCATATCATACATGCATTGCTTTATGCGCTATATAATCTTGAGTTGTTAGCTCTAAGTGCTTAGGTGTGTTGAGCAGAACAGTTGCAAGGAACTTAAAGACATCACCAAGTCGCTCATTTATACTATCGTTTTGAATCACCAGCAAATATTTTAGCAGGTGCATTCCCTTCTTTTCTTCCTTCTGCAAGTAAGTTGGCTGACGTTTTCTTAGAATGTTTTCAACTTCCATTGTTCGTGAAAAGAATTCCCACAATTTCAGTTTCAGCTTTTTGCTTTTTGACCATTGGTTGCAGCTTTTTCGCTTCTTCTCGCGATTTTTGTCTTTTTACGCCGTATAATTAGGGCCATCAAGAGAACAGAACGGAGAAGGAAAATCACCACCATGGACTTTCAACTTAGAGACATTTATTTGGCAAACCGAATGTAGAGGACCACGAGTTTAAAAATCCTATTTGGAAACTTTGAAGATCAGCATTGTGCAATGTTTTTTATCAAGAAACCTAGTACCAGACGCCCTGAAAATCTAAGACACTGGCAGTACAGTAAATCTCCGCACACAAGAATCTACTTTTTTAAGGTTCAGGCTGAAGTAGGTTCTTATTGGAAAGGTACTTACATTATTTTCAGGGTATGAAGTCTCTTTTTCGAAGGATCCCTTATTTGAAATTGTTAAATTCATCATCAAGAGATGCATTCAACCCTGTTTTTTCCTTTTGGCAATGTTATTAATGTCATAATAACCAATTCTAAGCTCAGAAACTCAACAAAGATCTTGGCTATTAAATAGGAGGGGATGTTCAGTCTTTGAGAGCCAACACAGACAAATATTAACAATTATTTTGCGGAACAGAATTTGAGAATGGCTTTGAAAAAAGCAAAAGTTTTACAACATACTAAAAGCTTTTTCGTCTGACACTCCTCAGAGCATAAAACGTCAGAATCAGGGTCCGAAAGAACACGATGAAAAATATATACCCAGTTGTGGATCAAAATAGGCCAATCAGAAAAACGCAAGCACAAGACCGGTATAGTTGACCAATCAGTGCCGCGAGCCTAAAGAAAAGTTACCACTGGAGTCTAAGAGAGAAAACGAACTCCTTCTGTCTACACAATGACCGCTTTTTTGTTTGTTTGTTGATCGGCTCCAAAACTGCTAGATGGAAGACGACCGGGCTCTGCCAATTATCCGAAGCATGTCGTCATTATAGAGTTTTGCACAATCTGGGTTGTCTAAAAGATGTTGACCAATGACAGAATCACTTGCTTTGAAAGTGTTTCTAGACCTACAAGATCGAGGAGGCTGTTCTCTTTGAGGGGCAGTTTTGTTTCTTGTGTTGGAAAAAACATGTTATTTTATCCTATGCCCCAATCTTTGGATTGTGCGACCTACGTACCCAGAATCACACTGGCACATAAATACATAAAGGGCGGGACTTTTTCATCAATTCATAAATGACGGGACATAAGTCCCACTCAGACCTATCTTGTCTATGATTGGTTCAGCACAACACGAAATGGCTCAGGGAGATTGAAAATTATAAATTGAATTACATCTCTCTGCAATTCCAGGCGTAGGAGTCACGAGATGTGGTCACATCGAGAGGAAGGACCAGGACACTGCTCGTTAAGCATAGCTTTTCGGTGTCCTAAAGACTACCTTCGGGTGCTAGGTGAAAACAAATCAAATCGGTTCTAATGCTTTTATTTCATTTTTCAACATTTTGATTTTGCTATAAAAAAATATGTTAAAAAGTCAAAGTAATTTTAAAGTTCTCTTTCGTTAAATTGTATAAAATGCTGAAAATGCACAACTAAAACTTTTTGTACTGATTGTGATTTACCTCATCTTTAAAAATCTGGGAGTATATAAGGACCATTAAAAACTCTATTTTGTTGACCTTGGAATAAAAACCTATTATATATTATCACCTGAAACAATTCTTAAATACATGGTGCATAATTTAAGAAAAACCGCCTCTTGGTTCTAATTTTTGTAGGTTCCTATATCCGCATGGATTTACTGTAGTTCTTTTTTCCTCATATGACCTACAAATTCTTAGAAAACACTCCAAATTGTGTCCTGAATGTAATTTTTAAGCACTTCAGGTTGTTTTAAGTGATAAAAATTTTTACAAAATTTTCCAGGTTCTTTGAGGCTTTTTCACAGGCCCCGGGGGTGACAGAATTTTTTAAAAATGATTCAGTTCTTTTTTTCCACAAATGATCTACAAATTCATCGAGAACACTCTGAACGTATTTTCAAGCATTTCAGGTTGTTTCGAGTAAAGAAAATGTTTTTAAATTTTCAGATTTTTGAAGCTTTTTTGCAGGTCTGGGGTGACAGATTTTTTGAAAAATGACTTGGTTCTTTTTTTCTACATAAACCTCCAAATTGATCGAAAACACTTTAATTTGTGTTCCAAACGTCTTTTCAAACATTTCAGATTATTCCGAGTAAAAAATATTTTTGAAAAATTTTTAGGTTTTTCAAGTTTTTTGCAGGTCCAGGGTGACAGATTTTTTGAAAAATGACTTAGGTTGCGAGAAAATGACTGCAAAAAATACTCTGAAGCACATTTTTGCTTATCTAAAGGGCATAGTCGCCAACGATTTTCTGATCGCTTCGCTCGTAGGAGACCATTTTGTTTTTCCACAGGGCCTTCAAAACCTCTTGACGGCACAGCTCGCATCTCTATCATTGTAGCTAGGCCCCCATAAACCACCTTTCTCAACCTTTCTGAAATCTTTGTTAGGATGCCTCTTCAAATCGATGTCCCCTCCCACTTTTCTAATGCTTCCTTTTCTACGCCATTAATTAAAACGTTTCAGCGAAAAATCCGAATGAAGGCATAGCTATTTCAACTGCTACATTTGCAGTAGCAGAGCCATTTCACCAAAACATGATGATGATAGAAAGTATAAAATTATATGTTTTGCCAGCACATTTGCATCATGTTTATTCTTTTGAAAGTGCCCTACAATGGCTTGGCATCTGGGGTAAAAGTAGAACTTTCCTTGTCAGTGGTGGGGGAACTCATGGGTCCTGGCGGGGCAATTCCCCCATCATTGAGTATGCTATAAAATATCCTGCTTTCAACAGGTCAACTGATGACTGAAATCATCTTTAGTTCTGTAAAAGGATTTTCTGCCTTTTGATAGTTTTAAACTTTTTGAAAACAACAACGTGGGGCAAAGGGCGCACCGGGAAATTTGTCCCAGTGGGCCAGTCCGCTTCTGCTCGCAGTCATTTACATTAGAGTTTGCCTATCATGTGATAATTTATAATTGCAAGCTTTCCTATTTGTGTTAATGTTCAAGTTTGCAAAAAACTAGTTGCGATCGGCAATTAGCCTCTGTCCCAGACCCTTAACTTGAAAGTAGAGGGTCTGTGTAACCACAGTCAATAGAAAAACTCTGGTCTGGAAGCCTTTTGTTCTAACTCTTTATCCTTGAAAAAAAGTATTTTTAACCGCGAAGACAGCAACTCTACCACCAGCAACACTATTCAAAACCAAATTCTTTCAGACAAGCAACATATTTAGAACAGCAATATTCAAAACCAAATTCTTTCAGACAAGCAACATATTTACAACAGCAATCGTAACACGACAAAATTATCTGTAATTGACGTTATTCTAACCAGAATCTTCATTTGTTGATCTTCAGACCAAGGGTTTATATACACAACGCTTCACTTTTCCCTGTTTACAAAAAAAATGAAAGTGGACTGTTTGCATTTGACTTAACGAACAATGAAAGTCGCAGGAAACAATAATAAAATTATTGATAGTTACGCTTACGTCCCGACTCATATCACTAAAAGTTCATGCAGTATATTTTGAAGATGTTGATGTCAAAGATATGAAGTTTGGTAGAACCTGTGCTCTTGTAGCAACATCAGAGCCACTCCGTAAGACATTTAGCCGATTTTGAAAATATATTTCATGATGCTCACTCAAGATAATAAACATATCAACAGTTTTTTGGTTGTACAGAACTTGAAAAAAAGTCGTCTTTCCATCTAGCAGTTTTGGAATCGATCTACATACAAACGAGAAAGCCGCCATTGTGTAGACAGAAGGAGTTCGTTTTTTCTCTTGGAATCTAGTGGTAATTTTTCTTTAAGCACGCGCCACTGATTGGTTAACTATACCGGTCCTGTGCTTGCGTTTTTCTGATTGGCCTATTTCGATCCACAACTGGGTATATATTTTTCATCGTTTTCTTTGGGACCCTTATTCTGAGAAAGTGTCTGAGGATTGATGTTTTATGCTCTGAGGAGTGTCAGAGGAAAAAGCTTTTAGCCAATATGTTTTAAAATGTTTGCTTTTTCAATGCCAAAATAAGCTTACCATAATCCGGTAATAGAAAGCACACGCTTTACGAACAGATGCAGAGAAAACTGGCACGTTTTCCAACTCGGGACCTTAAACCGCATGGGCAGTAGAAAAGTTACCCAGGTTCAACCCTGTTTTGCATTTACACTAAATTTTTCAAAACGAACCCGGATCTAGTCGGCCTGGGTTGAGTCGGCCCAGACTGAGTCGGCCCGGGTTGAGTCGCCAGGGTAGAAATCACACTTCAGTTGCTTCTTTTGGTCGCTCTATAAACTTCCACATCATAGATGGAGAAGGGGTGCTTAAGCCCTCCACTTGATGCAAAAAATGCAACTTTTTAAGAAGTAAACCACTAGTAAAGATACTTTTTTTTCGGTTTTAGCAACTCCCTTTTTTAAACGCCTATTTTCGGAATCTAGCAGTTTGAAACTCTTATTTGCACTTTTATATTTGTTTTTGGTTTGCTCAAGATGTCTTTCATTTTCATAATTGCATTTTTGACATACCTATACGCCTTTTGATGTCCTTATATCCAGCTGTCAAGAAACTTTCAGCAATCTTCAAGCTGTATGACTTGTGTCCTTATTTTGAGGTTACAATGAAGTGTCACTCCTTTCTTCACAATGACCATGCATTCTGTCATTATACATATACCAAGCAGTGTATATATAGTTTGCAAGTTCAATCTTATTATTGGATAAATTTGAAAGGTGAAGGCGACTCATCCTGGAATATCGCATTTGAAAAAAATAACTCGAGAGAGCATCATCAAATACATTTGTGAAAGCAGGTAAATGTCTTACAAATTGGCTGTGGTATGGAGACAAGAGCACAACCTCTTTCAAGGCAACTCCGTTAGCAACCTCAAATCTATTGACTACCTCTTCTATTGAATAAACTTCAAGTGATATGAGTCGGGACGACAGGCCATAAATTTTTAAGAGAAACTGTTTATATTTTCAACAGTATTTTCTAAAATTTTCACTGTTTGTTAAATTAAAAAGGAAATGGTCCATTTCAAATTCTTTTGTAAACAGGTTAAATATGAAGTGTTGTGTTAAACATAAACACTGAGTCTAAAGCTCAGTAAATGAAGATTCTGGTGAAAATAACGTAAATAATTGAAAATTTAGTCATGTTACGGTTTTATTTCTAATTATGTTGCTTGCCTTTCAGAACTTTGTTTTGAATAGAGTTGCTGGTGGCAAATGCTTGTTATATAAAGCTGTAATCGTTCTTCAGTTCAAATGTTGTCGATGACTTGTAAAAGCGCAATACGAACAGCAATTTGAGTTCCGATGCGACGAAAATTTGCACTAAATGCCATCTTCTGCTACAGTGTGACTGGACAACAAGAACATCTTCTGTGCTTGCAGCAATTGATTCAGTGTGAAGATACATCTCATCCACATCTCATGTATAGCACAGATTTCTGGCAAACTTTAATTGAAAATCATTTCCTTGATCGAGAGTCAACTTAATGCAAGGGAGATTGATTGGACATTATCGAATACTGATCACGTGAAAAGAAAAGTTAATATCACACTGTTTCTGACGATACAAGACCAGTGCTTCCCTGACACACACTTTGTATAAAAATGAACACGACATTGGCACCAGTTTCTGCATGCAAAAGTATTACCCCAGATGTGTCTCAGTTGTCCAAATCCCATAGACTTGCAATGTTCTCCTTCAATGCAGCACTGATACCAATTACTTTAGTTTCCAACAGTGTCGTGATTATAGGCCTACTTCGATCTAAATCATCCGGCTCAAAGTTGTTGATCGTTTTTCTTTGCATAACAGACCTGTTAGTTGGTGTTTTATTAATGCCTCTAAGTAGTGCCTATATTCTCTCTCCAGTGGTACATAGCAGCTGCAAGGCAAAGTCTGCCATACAGTTTCTGTCCCACACCTTTCTTTTGTTAGACTTTACAACTGTCTTAGCTATCGGCATTGAACGGCTTATAGTTTTAAAGTATCCGATGCAAGACTTGTTTTTTCGATGGCAAGCCGTTCGTAAGTACGTCCTGATGTGTACTATTTTCTGGGTTCTGCTTTTTGCTTCAATCGTCATTCTTGTAACAAATAACAGTGACGTCTACTACGCCGTCAAATTTGCGTCTTTCGCTATCTATGTGGCTATTTTAGTAACGTTAGTAAGCTGTTATGCGATAGTCTGTCGCCATGTGCGAAACAGTGTGAAAAAGTTGTACAACGGAAATGACAACCATATACAGTCAAGATCTAGACAACTCAGACATGATATGGCCCTAGCAAGATCAGTCAGCGTCATTCTTTCTTTCCAGCTTTCAATGTGTACACCATATTTCATTACTATGCTTTTCTGGAATTGGGAGATGTTCAAATTTGGGAAACCAAAACAGCTCTCAAGCACGATCCTGGTTTGGACATTTTTGCCGTTGCTTATAAATTCAAGTGCAAACGCATTTATTTACTCGTATTACAATAGACCGTTAAGACAGTATTTTGTGCAAACATATTCCTGTCTGTTTCGATTCATTCCAAGAAGAAAAGAGACAAGAGGTAATACTAACGAAGAGGGAAATACTAAAAAGACTAAAGAATCTAGGTTATAAATTTATAAACACAGTACAAGGCACCAACCGCGGAAGTGACAGCTATGAAAATGATAGTCTCACAGAGAAATGGCACACAATTGCATAAATTGAAGCCGCTAAAAAGAAACTGCTGCATGAAATCTATAGGACTGTTCGTTCCACGTACATACATTTAAGTTTGGAATATTATTTGGAATAGTATAAACATATATTAAAGTATTATTATACTCGACTTTTGTAGGGTCCAGGCCCTCGACGTGTTGGCCACGTCACGCATTGTTAATGTAACTTCATTCTGCTAGAGTAGTTAGAGAGAGGTCTTATTGTTACGGACTGATAGTGTGGCTATTCGTCAAGAAAATTGATTGAATTCGTTGTAAATAGTTTTTTATGTTATTTGACTCACGCACCACACCAAGAAGATACTAGAGCTGAGTGTTTATTGCTCAATAGCGGAAACGTATTCAGATACACATCTGTATTCACTCTGCATAAGCTTGTTCACGTTATTTTTCTACTCATTCATTTCTTAACATTCTCATGACCTCATCTCATTAAACAGGTATCCTCTAAGTTTCTAAAACAAAACACATTCGCTAATCTTTATCCTTAGAGGGCCTCTCCAGCCAAAAAAAAAAAATTTTTATTGACTAAAAAGTTAGCATCTAGTGCATGTGTTATGGCAAAGTCGTTGTTTTTGCAAAATTCCAATTAGTTTAGAAGTTATAAGGCTTTAAAGTTGCACCTTTCCGAGAAAAAAACGACAAAAGCCGAATCAGTTTTGTGACATTCTGACGTCACAATGTGCGGCCCTCGTTCGCCATGAATTTCGTATATCTTCCACCGAATCGTGAAGGAGTCATGGTCACGCGTTGATAACGGCATCTAAATCTAGAGCAGGAGCTTTTTAGGATCGAAAATATAAAATGTTTACAATCATTCTAAGTTTGCGGGTCGGAATGTGTCCATGCTGTGTCACGACTTTGTTTTGATCACCTGTGTAGGCCCACAAAGCTACGGCTTCCTGTTCTAGCTCTTCCTTCGCGTATAATTAATCGAAATTGACACTTCAGTTGTTCTCCAGAAACGATGAACAACTAAAGGCTTCAGAATTGACATTTGAAATGCTCAAACTAAAAAGCCGGTGGAACAGAACTGAGAGTACCATCACTTGCAGTGTTCAATTTGCGAATCGCCGTCGTTCGATTCGGTTTGAGGCGAGACTAACAAAATACACTGTGACGTCAAAATTGCGTCACAGTGTCACCAAACCGAAAATTTTTTGTCGGTAAATTCAATTCAATTATCGAAATGCAAGAGCTTATATCTCACAAACTGTAAAAAAAATCGAAAAACAAATAACGAATTCGTGATCAGCAGGTTCAACTCCTTTAGATTAGCCAATAAAATGCAAGTGCAAAAAATTGGCTGGAGAGGCCCTTTAACTTTCTGTTTGCTACGTTATTCATTTCACAATTCTTAACTTTATCCCTGTAAATTTGAGAATATAGTGATCATATATCGTAATTAGTATAGCTAAGGATGCTAATTTTTTGAATTGGATGTTCCATCCAGCTCAACAAAAATTCCGACAGCCAATCACGTGCACGTAGAATAAAACACGTAGAATATAACAGTTTTTGTTGTCTAGTTGCACTGAAGCAGAAGCTGAAGCTGGCAAGATGATTAAATGGAATTACACCAGAATCAATTATCGAAAGGCTTTTGAGCTTTAAACAATTCGCTTGAGATTTTTACTATTTCCTATTCATTATGGTCTCATGTGCCCTCCTTTCTCACGTTTTTCTTGTATCTACTCTACCAGTTAATGGACAATGCGGGAGTCTTTCGGCCTCCTGAGGACTTGACTTATAAAGCTAGGGTGAGGTTTGTGTTTTGTCGCGTTTTCATTCCCTTTGTTAATCTAGGGGTATTTGCGGTTTTGATAAAGTATGGATCTCGCCTTGCTTGCATTTACCTCATTCAGTTTTGATTCTCAACCATAGACGTTTCGATGAGGGCTAGCTTTCAGATAAGTCTATTGATTACCCGCCAGGTATGCGTTTCTCTACTGATAAATCAAATATATTTTCTAACTATTTTAGATAATGCTTCGGTGTTTTTGCAACTTTACCTGATACTGGTACGAATTTCAGTGTTCGAGGTTCGTTCGTAGAAATCTTTTTTTTGTCACCTCTATGGCACCAAACTTGGCTAAAATTCAAACCCACCCCTGAGTCTCACCGGGAAACACAAAAAATCAATGCAATGTGATAACTCAGAACATGATTTGCTACAACAAAGTTAAATACAAATTAGTAGTTGATGAAGTGCTCCAGCTTTCTCAGTGAACTTTTTCGCTCATGTTGTAACTGCAGATAATCGCTCCACATTCATTTCATAATCCAAATTTCTTCAGTAGAAATTATTCACGGCCTCGTTAGCAATACTGTTTTTAGATCGCCAAGACGGATAGATAGGTTTAATGTTTTGAGTTTTCCTGACCCAGTCTGTAGCTTGTGTCCCTTAATAGCCGTTATTCTATTGTTCCTGGCGAAAATTATAAACAGCATTTGAAGTTTTGTTTATTGATGGTGTTCATGCCTGGAGATTCAAATTTTTGCAAACTACACAAAGTTTTAAGCTTACAGTAAACATTTTTCCATTTTTCCATTTTTCGATTATTTCTCATTCAAGAAGCCGTAATTTCAAGGCACAGAATGATACCAAATTTGAAACTAACAGGTATTTTGAAAATGGAGAAAATCCCATCTAAACGAAGGTTTCAATAATTTCCTTATCAAAACTTTTATTTGAGGCCTGAAAATCTCTTGACCTGTTAAGCCGATTATCATTGCTTTGCAGTTGTGGTCGCATGTCTCATTCACAATATCGCATGGCACATATATGTATCCCATCTATGGCTGTGTTTATTCAAACAGGCTTAATGATCTTAAAGCTTCAAGTGACTTGACCCGGATTACACTGTGGTTTCAAGTGACTTGACCCGGATTACACTAGTGTCCCTTGCAAGTGCAATTAGTAAAACCCCATTTGCTCTAGAATTCCATTTTCTCTACATACAGGTACGAAAAAGCTTTTTTGGACCCAAGGAACCAATCGAATGGCCCAAAACTTTGCACGCAGCCAGGACATATCTCGGGTAAGCAAAGTATCTGAAAATTTGTGTATTTGCTCTGGTCCGTCTTTTATATACAGCTTTGGGAGGGAAGAAAAATTATTTTTCAATTTTTGACAGGGTATAGTTTCAAGGGGAGGAAGAATTTAGAAAATTTGAGACACTATTTGGTAGCTTAGGATCTGCGCTTTCTATTGATATAAGTCAGATCTTGATACCTCAAATGCCAGGGTACAAAATAGCTTTTATAGGTGGAACAGTCATTTAAGCAATAAATGTGCCTGGAATGTATCATTTTACAATGTTTGCCAATTATTTTGATCTGCCCGGAATCACGACATTCTTGTGCATCGTATGATGTATAGTTTAATCCGATTCCGTTAATAGTTTGGCCTTCAGGGAGAGAAAACCAAATATCGTGTCAAAAACGTTTACCGTAACCTTAAAGTGACTTCAAGTTGTTGCTTTTTTCAAGTTCTCTCTTTTAGTCTTTTACTAAAGGTTGGTGATAAGTCATTTATGGAATTGGTTGTAGATTAAGTTAACTGACGATACTTAGCTGATTATTAAAAAAGATTCTAGATTATTTCTCCATTGAAGTTTTTCCAGTGTTTAGATGCCTTAAAAAGGGTTTCTAAATTATGCTAGATTCGCAAGACCCTTGTGGCTTGTTTGTTTCTAAGGAATCTATACTTTGCTTCCCATTTCCTGGAATGATATAAGGTTTCTAGCCTTCATTGACGTACATTAGCGCGGAGATTTGCCTACTGTCCACCTTTATGAGCAAAAATTATCCTGTAACTTGCCTTTGAAGGGAGGACTGTTTCCTCAAGCCTAAAGAGTGGAAGTGTGCTATTGAGTTCTTTCCTCGTGTTATGCTCCGTGGCTAGGCATGCGAGCTGAAATGGTCGTAGAATTCGCAAATCTTTCACGTTGATGCCGCTTAATTTGCCACCGCTTCGGGTTCCTGAATATCTTAAACGTTTTATTTTTACCATGCAGTGATGAATAATAGAGTTCTGAATCCGCAAAGAAGAATATTTTGCTCTGAATATAGCAGTAGGTAATTAAGAAGAACGATTACAACTTTATTTAACAAGCCTCTACCACCACCAACTCTATTAAAAACCAAATTCTGAAGAGCAATCGGCATAATTAGAATTACAATCATAATACGACGAAACTCTCAGTTAATTACTTCATTTAGACCAGAATCTTAATGCATAAAACACTTCACATTTATCCGGTTGACAAAATAAATTAATATACACAGTTGGCATTTCAATTGAACCCACAATGAAAGTCGCCGTAAATGCTAATGAAAATATAAACAGTAACACTTAGAAATTAAAGGCCTGACTCGTATCATTAAAAGTTCATGCAATAAAACTTGTAGTCAAAGGATTTGAAGTTTTGTAACAGTTTTGATTTGTTAGAATCTGTGCTCTTGTAGCAATATCACTGACAATCCGTTAGATATTTAGTTGTTTTTGAAAATATATTTCACGATCCTCACCCAAGATACTGAACTTTACTGTTTGCCTGTCTGTCATTTCATGTGTACATTGCTATAAGTGCTATATAATCTGCGCATGTTACTCCTCCCTTGTATCAATCCTGGGGCCCTGGAGTGGATCCGTTTGGAACGCAAGAATGACATATTTGGAACCGCTCAATTTTCTCTCGTGTAAACAAGGTCTTACTTGATTTTGCAAATATGTTTCACGAAGCTCACTCAAGATAGTGAACTTTACTGTTTGATTTTCTGTCATGTCATACATGCATTTCTTTATGCGCTATATACAGTAAATCCCCGCATATAAGAACCTACAAAAATAACAACCTAAAGGCTGTTTTTCCTAAATTATGCATCATGTAATTAAGAACCGGTTTCAGTGTGATAAAATATAATAGGTTCTTATCCCAAGGGCAAAAAATAGAGAGTATGAATACGTATTCATTTTTTTAACTATTTGAATGCGTAAACTATCACAGCAAACAACGCTCTGTTTACGCCATTTCTCACTTATGCTAAATCATGTAGAAGCCGCATAATTTACGCATAATTAATTTTCCCATAGATCCTAGGAAAACGCTCGTACGGGATTTTGTTCTCGGTTACACAGACCCTCTACTTTCAAGTAAGGAGTCTGGGACACAGGCCATAAAATTAGGGCTATCATAAGAACATAACAGAGAAGGAAAATATCAATAGTCTTAAAGGAAATTGTGTTGAAACTGACTTTATGAATGCACGTGCATTCCTCATGAAAACCTTTCACTGTTCATAATGGCGGGCCAGCCTTCGAAGATACCATAATTCAGTGATAGAAAGCACATGCTCTACGGAAAGACGCAGGGAAAAATAGCGCTCTTTCCAATTCGCAACCTTAAACCGCATGCGCAGTAAAAAAGTTACCCTGGTTCAAACCTGTTTCGCATTAACGCAAAATTCTTTCAAAACAAACCAGGGCTGAGTGGGCCAGGGCTGAGTGGGCCAGGGCTGAGTGGGCCAGGGCTGAGTGGGCCAGGGCTGAGTGGGCCAGGGCTGAGTGGGCCAGGGCTGAGTGGGCCAGGGCTGAGTGGGCCAGGGCTGAGTGGGCCAGGGCTGAGTGGGCCAGGGCTGAGTGGGCCAGGGCTGAGTGGGCCAGGGCTGAGTGGGCCAGGGCTGAGTGGGCCAGGGCTGAGTGGGCCAGGGCTGAGTGGGCCAGGGCTGAGTGGGCCAGGGCTGAGTGGGCCAGGGCTGAGTGGGCCAGGGCTGAGTGGGCCAGGGCTGAGTGGGCCAGGGCTGAGTGGGCCAGGGCTGAGTGGGCCAGGGCTGAGTGGGCCAGGGCTGAGTGGGCCAGGGCTGAGTGGGCCAGGGCTGAGTGGGCCAGGGCTGACTGGGCCCGGGCTGACTCGGCCCGGGCTGACTCGGCCCGGGCTGACTCGGCCCGGGCTGACTCGGCCCGGGCTGACTCGGCCCGGGCTGACTCGGCCCGGGCTGACTCGGCCCGGACTGACTCGGCCCGGGCTGACTCGGCCCGGGCTGACTCGGCCCGGGCTGACTCGGCCCGGGCTGACTCGGCCCGGGCTGACTCGGCCCGGGCTGACTCGGCCCGGGCTGACTCTGAAAGAATTTTGCGTTATTGCGAAAGAGGTTTGAACCAGGGTAACTTTTCTATTGCGCATGCGGTTTGAGGTCGCGAAGTTGAAAAGGTTGGCAATTTTTATGCGTCTTTCCGTACAGCATGTGCGTTCCATTTGCATTTGCAAACTCAGTCTCAGCCCAATTTCCTTTAAAGGAGAACTGACACAAAAAATAACTTTTGCTCATTCGATGCTTACTTCAAATCTGAAAAAAGTTTTCTTCTTAGATTCACCATTTTTCTGATATTTGCACTTTTATACGTTTATTACGATCTTGGAAAACGCAGTTCTATCATCTTACTCCCCCCCCCCCCCCCAATCTGTTATCCAATCGGAAAATATGAGGACATTCAGAAAATTTAAAGCTGTTGGTAGAAAGCTAAGTTAATCGGAAAAAAATTAAATCATTTGTGAAAATTGAAGTTTTGACTCGTATGGCCTTGTGAACTGTAGCTCAAAGAGTTCGTGTAAGAAAGGTACGTGTAAGTGCAAAAGAAAATATTTGTTTGGTAAAAGGCATATGAGTCAAAGGTGAGAGGCGACGCAATTCAGAAAAAACGTAGTTTTGTATGAAAATGCAAGTATTTTCAACTACAGTCGTCGTAATGGGGATAGTGTCGTAATTATTCCATCAAATTTCTCCTAAAAACGGGATAAAAAATAGAATTTTTTGAATAATATTTAACAGTAATGCTTAAAGACACGTAGTACATTTCCCATGACTTGTCAAGAACTTTCTCCGTTCGATATCGACGGATGAAACATAGGCGGCGGCAGGTGGAGAGCTGAGGGCTTCAGCCCCCCTCCCCCCTTTTTTGCAAATATGTTTTTTTAAGCAAATAAAAAGAGTAAAGGAAAACGTTTAAAGATAAGAATAATCCGACACATCCTTTAGTTGCTTAATTTCCAAGGAGAACGCCGAGGACTATGGGGCATAAAAAAATAATGAATTCAATTTTGAGACTTGAATTTATTAAGCGTAATAAGAGCATGCCTTGAAAATAACGAAATGTTTTAAACGATTGCAAGAAAATACCTGCAAGAAATATTCTGAAATGTATTTTAAGCTTATCTAAAAAGGGTGCTTGTGGAAATTGTCCGCTCGCTTCGCTTGCAAGGAAGTCACTTCTTTCAAATATCCCCAAGGCCTCCGCCAACATCCCGCCGGCCCCTTCAAAGGTACCGCTAGCATAATGTGTGCCCCGTAACATAATAGGCATATAATATGGTGAATCGTCTTAATGCGTTTTTCAAAAGATGGTCCTTTAGTCTGACAATTCTATCAACTCGAGCCCCCCTCCCTTTGAATTTCTTAGCGCCGCCCCTGTGAAAGACTAAACAACCTCATGATTCTAACTTGCGAGAAAGACATTTTGGACAACGTAAATTTAGATAAGATTGAGGAGCAATGGGCAAGTCGTAAAAGGAGAAAAATTATCACCTGATTTCTGGACTACGTATGTTTTTATGCGCTAATTAAACTAACAGTCTTTATGCTCGATCTTCCAAATTCACAAAATCTAACAACTTTATCATACAGCTGACTAATTATTATCGAGACAATTTATAAGGTTTTGTTGGTAGAAAACTATTAAAGTTTAGGCCCTTATACAAAATTAGAATTGACCCTTTGTCAGTCGGAAATTTTGAACCCTTCACGACAACAAAGAAAGACATGGTTACCATCAAGCATTGATTAAAATTACAACTTTAGCAAATTGCAACTTGCGTAAGAACCGCAGCAGGGTGCTTTCCCTAGCAAAATCGATTTGTTAGATATCGATAATGCGTAAAAATGATTACTGTTGTTTCACGGAAGGGACCGTAAGGAACGCTAGCTATCCTAAGTATAGTCACGTGTCTCAATTCCAATGGCCTGTCCTGACTATGGGCAC